ACCTACCTGCGGACCGCCGGAGTGTCCTATTTAGACAGTCATAGCCCAGCCTCTGGGGGCAGCTGGTAGCATGCTGAACGGGAGTGCTGAAAGCCACACGGCTGACCAGGTTCAGCTCCTTGGCCTGGTTGACCTGAGATACCCCAGGCGCATGTGCAGGTGCCCAGGATCCTGTGCCGGAGGATTGTGTTGAGGGTGCATCTTCTACTTTCTCTCTCACGTGTACTTTTCTATCTCCCCAGTCGCATATGCCATCTTTATAGTTCAGATGTCCCCCCCAAAATTCACTTGTTAGGCCTTGGTCATATTGTAAAGGTGTTAAGTGAAAACTTAATCTTTTCATGGTATCCCAGGGTGAGGCCTTTGGGTGTGATAAGGTCCTTAGGGTGAGACCTTCATGGGTGTAAACCACACTCCACTCTGCTCAGAGTTTTGCCTTCCACTATTTCACGAGCCCTTTGGACTCTCTAGACACCAGAATTATGAGTCGGTGAACATCTGTGGGTAATCGACCCATTCTGTAAACAGCAATAATGGACTAAAACAGAAGCCTTTAAGGTATTCTTAACAACCCTAACACCTCCCTCCTGGTCTCCCGCTGGATCTGATTGATTCTGCCTCTTAAATAATTCTTTTTTTTTTTTTTTTTTAGAGAGGTTTTTGCTATAGGGCACGTGCGCTCGCCAGACAGAGAGACATAGAGACAGAAAGCAAGAAATCACCCCCCAGGGGGGATGGTCACGCCGCAATCCCTTCTCCTCCATTCTCCTCTTGGGATCTTGGGCACGCACGCACACGTGCCCGGCATGAGTTTTAAGCCACCGGGTCCAGGACACGAATCGCGGTTGACTACGTGGGAGTCCAGCGACACAGCCATTATGCTAACTGCTGGTTCCCTTAAATAATTCTTGAATCTGACTTTCCATTTCCATTCAGGGCCTCCCAGCTTCCACCCGTACCCTTGTCATTCTCCACAGTGGTATTATTTGCAGGTCAGACCCAACTTAAAACCTAGCTGTGGTGGGGCCGGCAGGTGGCATGGTGGTTAGGGGCGCTGGACTCCCACATGGCTGACCGTGGTTCAAATCCTGGACCTGGCGGCTTGCTTTCTCATTCTCCCCGTCTCACTCTGTCCCTCTCTGCTCAAATTATGAATAAATAATGTTAAATAAAATAATTCTTTTAAAAAAAACAAAACCTACCTGTGGTGCTTGATGTGCTTAAAAACTCCACAGTCGTTGGGGGCAAGGCTCTGTGCAGTCCAGCTTGGTCTGCTCTGCAGCCTCATAGCATGCGAAGCCCATGTGCTCTACTCTTCAACTGCGTGGCCTTTCCTGGTCCTTAACACACCTCCATCTTTCCTCCCTCTGCTTAGGGTGCTCTCCTGTCTCAGAGAAGCCTGCCCATCTCCTTTAGTCAATATCGCAACATAGCATCCTTTACTTTTCATTCCTAGCAATGAATATACTTGGAGATTTGTTTCTTTGGTAGAGGATTTGCATTTAGGGTGCATGCACTTGCCATAGAGAAAGAGGCAGAGACAGTGAGAGGGAAAGTGAGAAATCTCCCCCACCCGCAGGGGGAACAGCCACACTGCAATCCCTTCTCCGTTCTCCTTCCAGGATATTGGGCACACATGCACACATGCCCTGCATGAATTTCAGGTCACCGGGTCTGGGACTCCTACCATGGCTGGCCATGTGGGAATCCAGTGACATAACTGCTACGCCATCTGCTGACTCCATAATTTGAGATTTTTTTTTTTAAACCGATGTATAATTTACACACAGTAAAGCACACAGGCTGTTTCCGGCAGATGCGAAACCATGTGACCATCGTCCTAATTATGGTAGCGGCCATTTTTATCACCCCAGTGATATCCGTGTGCCCAGTCCTGTTAGTGATCACGTATTTGTGAGCAGTCGTGTGCTGCATAATGGCATTTCAGTGAGGATGTGGGGCGGCGGTCCCACAGGAGAGGTGGGCCCTCCACACCGCGGATGTGTAGTAGGCTGTACGTCTCGGTCTGTGTACGTGGGCTCCGTGATGTTTGCACACCAACGAAATCACCTAGTGTTAGGTTTTTCAGGGTGAATGGCAGAAGTCAAGTGATAAATCCTGCATTTACTTGTTAACTGCCTGTTAGCCATCAGATTAGGCTTTGTGAGGCCAAAGAGTTCATCTTGTCATCTAACCTCAGGGACAGGGTCTGGCTCACAGTAAGAATTCAGTCAGTATTTGTGGAATGAATGAGAAAAATCAGTTGACTAGGGCTGCAGGTAGTCTGATGGTGAAGGTGCTATTCTGACATGGCCAGCTGTGGTTCGAGTCCCAACCTGGGGCTTGAAAATCACACCAGGCACGTGCGTGTATGTGCATGCCCAAAATTCCAGGAGGAGACTGGAGGAGAAGGGATCGTAGCATGGGTTTCTTATTTTCCCACTCGCTGTCTCTCTCCGATGGGTGCATGCACTCTATGCCAAAAAACAAACAAACTAATTGACTAAATGGAGTTGGAAGATGAGCAGAGGAGGGCCGGGGAGATGGCGCGTCCGTCTTTCTGAATGCCTGTGAGATAGGAATTACTCCCTTTTCAGATGTGGAGAGACAGTAACCGAGATTCCACATAGTACGAACGTCCAGGCCAGGAAGCCAGGTCGTCTCTGACTCCCAGAGCCGTACTGGATGAGCAGTTCTCCACCATGAGAATAAAATTGCTCCAGCTGGGTTTGTTAAAGCTGCTGCTTCGCTCTCAGGACCTTCTGATTCTCATCTACTTCCTTCTCTGAGTGACAGTTCCTGTTCTACAGAGGAAAGTTTCACTGTCCACAAGGAACATTGTGAACTCTTGCCTTTTATATTCTCATTCATCAGAGAGAGACAGACAGAGAGAGAAGGTGAGAAAGTAAGCTGCCAGGTCTGGGACTCGAACCACAATCAGCCCTGTGGGAGTCCAGCACCTTAACTACCACGCCACCAGCTGGCGCCATCTCTATCCTTTCTTTTATCTTTTCCTCCATAGTTGTTTTCTTCCCACCAGCTTAACCACATTTGTGTTTTCTCCTGTGAGCAGCTTCCTTACCGTACCACTGAAAAGCACTCCAGCCAAGGCCGCCAGTGGCCAGCTTGTCAAATTTGTTAGACTTCATCTTTCTGTTCGCTGGTCCCACGGCTTGGCCTTGTCGCTCCTGTGACAGCATGCTCCCGTGGTTTCCTGCTTCCTCTGGCCATTCCAGTCTCTGTTTTGAGCTCTTCTAAAACATTGACTACTCCTATTTCTACATTTTCTCTCTTCTCATTTAACTAGCTTCCTTGGCAAAATCATGGCTCTGCGGATGACTCCCACATGACTGGGCCTCCCAGCCAGGTATGGCATTCTCTCGGTACAGTGTCCCCAGATGCTTCCATTTAACATGTTCCAAACGAAACAGTTTTCTCCTAAATGTGTTTCTTTCCCTGTGTGCGCCTCTTGGGAAAGCATGTCTGGCCATCATGTCAGCGAAGCAGACTCACACAGTCCCTGCCTCTCGGCCCTCTTCTCAGTCCAGTCAGTTTGATCTTACCCATGTCCCTCCTTGTTGGGTCTGGAGCTCGTCCACATCTATTTATCCCACCATTAATCTCATTCTTCAGTCTCGGTGACGGTAGACTTCAGACTTCCTTCCAATGTGCCGTGAAGAGTCTGGACACGTGGACACTGGTGGGCTTTTCAGTGAGGCGTAGTTATCCTTTTTCAACCTGAAAATTACCTTGGAGAGTAAGCTGAGCCAGTTAGGTAGACCTTTGAGGAGCATTGAGATTTTCCAGTCGTGGCTCTGCATTTCCTTGATGCTTATCAATCAGTGTTTTCTTCCTGTTCTTGTTGCACAGTGGTTAAACTCTGTGTTTTGGGAGCCAGGTCCACGTGGCTGACCACGGCAGGTTTGAGTCCCACTTTGGTGGCTCAAGAGAGATGCTGGGTATGTTTGCACATGTGTGGGCACAATCCTGCCGGGGTGGGGAAATGGAGAAGTGGCGGTATGCTTGTCTTCCTCTCTCTGGCAAGCACACGTGCCTTGTGGCAAAACTGTATTAATTGTAGAAGATTTGAAATTTGGAAGAATATAAGTTTAAAAAGCAGTTATTGGGGCCAGCAGGTGACGTGGTAGTTAAAGGCACTGGACTCCCACATGGCCAACCATGATTCGAGTCCTGGACCTGGTGGCATGTTTAATCACTTTACCTCACTCTGTCCCTCTCAGATCAAATTTAAATAAATAAGTAAAGTTGAATAAAATAATTCTTTAAAAAAAGAAGCAGTTATTGGTAATCTTCTTTTTTTTGGGGGGGGGTTCGCTATAGGGTACACGCGCTCGCCAGACAGACAGAGAGAAACATAAAGACAGAAAGCGAGAAATCACCCCCCAGGGGGGATGGTCACGCCGCAATCCCTTCTCCTCCATTCTCCTCTCGGGATCTTGGGCACGCATGCACACGTGCCTGGCGTGAGTTTTAAGCTACCAGGTCCGGGATGTGAACCGCGGTCGACTACGTGGGAGTCCAGTGACATAGCCATTACGCTAACTGCTGGTTCCCAAGTTATTGGTAATCTTCTTGCCTAATGGCCATTATCTATATAGTTCCTTCCCACCACGTTATATGCCAAATACATGAATCATGGCTTTACAGTCCCCTGTAATTCATGGAGTGACCTGGAAAGCTTTGTGTTGTCTCCTTTGTCCCTAAAGCTTGTATCTTGTGCATTTTCCTAGGTCATAAAGTTTAAAAAAAAAAAAAAACATGAATGTTAAGTGGTTGTGGTAGTGGTCTCAGTCTAATTTTATTAAGTATTCTTCTCTACTTAACCTTTGAAAGTGAATATAGTTTTCTGATGTCAGGCCTAGTTCTGTGATGACCATCCTAGTCCAGTAAGGTTTTTGTTGTTGTTCAGCTAAGAGGAGAAAAATTTGAGACAAAGAAGTTGCACCTGACCTAGAATAACACAGAGCAGATTTAAATCACAAAAAGAGCTGACGTTTGGCTGCCAAGTACAAAAGGCTTTGTATGATTAGGCCATGAGTTCGTGACAATTAATGTCCCCATTATGCTCATGCATTAGAAATGGGGGGAATCCTCTTTCGTATTTTCTCCTAGGTGGTTCGAGGACACTACAAAGGTCAACAAATCGGCAAGGTAGTCCAGGTATACAGGAAGAAATACGTCATCTACATCGAGCGGGTGCAACGTGAGAAGGCTAACGGCACAACCGTCCACGTGGGCATCCACCCGAGCAAGGTATGGTTCGGACTGGGCGTGGCGCAGCCCTGCAGTGCCGGACACTGTCAGAGTTCTCGCCGTGTTGGTGCTGCCTGCACATGCACAGGTGGCTGTGGTAAGGACCCCAGGGGTAGGCCAGGCTGGCTGCCTGACACAGTGCCCCAATGTCTCTTCCTAGTCTCCCAGACTCTTCCCTATTTTGCCGTCCTTGGTGACGGCTGTCCTTACGCTGGGGGAGGGCTCAGGTGTTCCAGACCTCACTTCCCCACTGGATAGTGTTCAGAGAGGAGAACAGCGCTCCCTGGCCTAGTGGGATATGCTGTTTCTCCTTCGCATTCTCTCTGTGCATTGCATTATAGAGTCTTTCTCTCCTTCCAGAGTTTTGGATCCCTAAGCAGAATGATTGGGGGCTACTTACGTTTTCGTTGTACTGTCCAGCAGCTAGCAATGCTGTACTTTAAACAGTGCATCTCACCAGCCAAGGGTGACGAACAGACCTCCCAACTCGGTGGTACCCCACATCACTGCCCTGCCTAAGTGGTCTTGTGCGGGTGGGCGTCGGGATAGCAGAAGTGACAAGGCACGCTCTGCTGGGCAGGATGATGGGGGCGACAGGCTGTTTGCACTTAGAAAAATAATTACTGTTTTTTTCTCACACCTAACAGGTAGTTATCACCAGGCTAAAACTGGACAAAGACAGGAAAAAAATTCTTGAACGCAAAGCCAAGTCTCGGCAAGTTGGAAAAGAGAAAGGCAAATACAAGGAAGAACTAATTGAGAAAATGCAGGAGTGAGCAGAGCCTGTGGTTTGACTGGAGACTTCACCTGCTGTGTGTTTCTTCGGAAATGTTTAAGATGTTTCTGAAGCAATTTATACCCTACCCCTCGTTTTGTTACTGGCTATAAATTACTTTCACAGTTTTGAGTAATAGTCTTATTAATAAAAACCAGAAGTATTTCCTAAATCCAAAATATATTTGCATTGTTTGTTTTTTTTTTTGTTTTTTTTTTTTTTTTTTTTTAGAGATTTTTTCTTTCAGGGGGCCGCGCCCGC